ACAAAGTTGTTTGCAAAGAGAAAAGAGGAAATCACCAGGTTATGAGTAGACGGACCGAGCGCTTCTGTAGGAATCGGGACGTGTTATCCATTGAATTGACGCACAGTCATGCGCTGTGCTTGGAGCATTTCACCGATGTTCCGAAAGTTCTCTTCGGGCGAGAGGTCTTGGCAGAAGTCGCGCCGATAAGATACTGCAACTCACCGCCGTCACTGCCATCTCGAAACGCGATACGCGTCTGAAATGTCATGATTCGGTCATTTCGAAAGTATTGAGTCTCTCTCGTAGTGTTTTGACGTCTTCATACGTTCATTGCGCGTGGTGAATATATCCAGTCGCGACGCGTGCAAATCGGTACCTCGCCGGCAGGTCTGGCGAGATCCGCGGATTCACGAACACATCTTGGCAAAACGGAAGTCGGTGTGGCAAAGCCGCAATTGGACGATGTTGGGACGTGAGGAGGTGCAGGTGATGATGGGGATGCGGCGACGAAGCGATCAGGAACAGTGTTCTGGTCCATGTGTCAGTGCCAAGCTTCACGCCACGACACTACGGCAAGCTTCAGGGGTCCACTTCGAGCAAGTGGTCGTGCGCGCTGCGGGGAGGAACCAACAGTTTCGTCACCTGGTCATCTGGGTGTTCGACTGACAGACGACATGAAGCTATCGCTGGCTCAACTCTTGGTGTATCGACTGGAATGCTTTCTTTGATTTGGTGCTATGTGTGTAGATAGGCTAGAGACTTCTCCAGAGGAAGAGCGGTCACGGGGAATTCCTACAATTTGACGCAACAAGCAAATGTACATCGCATACGGCGATCATCTTGGTATGTATCTTGCCGAACGGGACTAAGTTCACGCATTCACCGGTGGTGCCCTGCGTGATCCTACCAGGACAAGCGTGCAGTAGACTCAGGCCTCTTAGTCCAGTCCCCATGGATCTTCGAAGCCAGCAGCTGACTCGACGTCTTCCAGATCTGGTAGATCATCGTCATCGTCATCGTGGCCATTTTCGTCCTCGTCTTCGTCCTCGTACTCGTCTTCTGATTCATCCCCCACGTGAGCATGCATAGAGTCTTTCTCGTCGCAGATACAGCAAGTACATTCAACGTGCTCACCCTGGATTCTCTTCCACTGGCGGATCATAGCTCGTCCCAAACGTTCTCCGCGGATGCACTCGCCGTTCACGTACACCGAAAGAGACCCGTCGCGGTTCTCAGCGTAGCCAAACTCGTCCAGAGGCAGACCCGCAAAGTCAGCCGCCGAATGGTCCTCCTCGTCATCTCCGTCCTCGAATTCCTCTTCTTCTTCTTCGCTGTTGTCTTCGGCGTTCTCACTGGTAGCATCATCCTCGGTGCCCTGTTCGAGCTCTGCGATCTCGCCTTTGCACCAGTTGCACATGACTTTTGGCATGATGTCTGGTGTGAACTCCGTTCCGCAGCCACACACATGAACGTGGCCTTGTCCGACCTCGCTTGCTTTTACAACATGGCGGCGCAGCTGTTCATCAACGTTTACCTCCTCGATATAGCAGTGCATACACAACCATCGGTCTAGGAAACGCTTCCGTAGGGTGCAGGAACAAGGCGCGACACCTTGATTCTGGCGTTCCAGGTAACAGGAAGGGCATGCGAGGTCTTTGCGCTTGTTGACAGTCAGATTGAGAAATGAGACGATGTTATTGCCAGAGTAGGGGAATTGTGTACGCCCACGGGGACTGATGAACTGGTGGGCGCCCAAATTCAGATCGAGAATCGGCTCAATCGGCTCGGGATCGCCTAGAGCACCGATGTTTAGGGGAATATGCACGCGGCCCTGGTCATGGCGAGGTAGCATATCCTTGACAGGTAGATGCCAGGCGCTGCCATCGGAGTTCTTAGGTGGATATACTGCAACAGCCATGGGGTTGAGGAAGTAGTAGCCTGCCCACCATCGACGCTGATCGAGCCCAGAATCGTCTGTCATGAAGTTGTAGAAAACATGGATGCGGCACTCGTCGCAAGTGTTGACACCACATCCCACACACGGGTGTGACTCTGCTCCAAATCCACCTTTCGGGCAAACCATCACAGGATGGAATGTCTTCGCTGGACAGGGGCAATGAGTCGACATCCTGACGAACGAACCGAATCCGGAGCACAGTGTCTTGGAAAGAAGATTGGCCTTTGCGCTTGCATCGTCCATGCGAATGTGGCCATGAACAGTTTGGCAGAGCTGAGTAAGAGTGACGAGCCTTTCCGGTACCAGGAGCGAGACTAGGGCCTGCAGATCGGAATTAGTAAGGCGCATAGAATAAGAGGCTCACAGACGTATGCCTTACCTCTTGTATTGGGTACAAAGCCAGAGCGACCGTGAGGGGATTGGTGATATTTGATACCGCCGGCGGTAGCGTCCAGGCGCGCTGCGCTGTCTGCTGCACTGACGACATTGCACAAAGCCTTCTCGAATGCTTTCAGGACTGCGGAGAGTGTTGAAGCAGTCGCAATCGCAGTAGAGCACGCCTGCACTGTCTGCCTCGTCGAAAGGATCGTTCAGGTACGTCTGTTCGATTGAAGTTACTTCCGCATTGCAGGGGCGCGAAAAAGGAAGACGGGAGTGAGTGCAGAATTGAATCAGGTAGGTACCCGAGTGACGTCGTCGCGTAGTAAGAGCAAGAGAGCCCTGGAGGCAGTCGCACATGGCACGTGCGCCAGTAGCAAACAAACACAATATCCACCGCCAAGTGAGATTAACAGCTACGGTGTCATGCCAACCTGGGGAAAAGACTGAACGGGTCTGCAGCCTACATTAATACAGAAACATGCAGAGACCTAACGTTGATATAGGCTCCGGGCTTGTTCGGATTTTTTCCATGTAGGGGTTACCACGTTCAATTCGTTGTTCAGCAACCTAGCCTCTCCAAGTGAGACCTCATATCACTTGAACCTCTCCCACCTAGTGCTGATTGGCAACTTACTCCTTATCACACGCATCCGACATTTCCCACGATCCCTTTTAAAAGCTCAGGTACCATGACCGCGGCATCACCTTTGAACATCCAGTCGCCCGCCCAAACGCATCCTGGCTCGTCATAATACACTTCCATATTGAAATATGCGACCCTCGCACCAGCGTTCCGAGCCTTAGGTATGTACATCGCCGCCGGAAGGACGACGCCACTCGTACCGATTACCAGCAAGAGGTCGAGAGGCGTAGAGGTGATAAAGGAGTGTATAGCCTCGGTGAGGTTGCTCGATAGGCTTTCGCCGAAGAGCACGACGCTCGGTCGCATGAGGCTGTCGCACCGTGGGCAATGAGGTAGCTGAGTATGATCGAGAGGAGGCAGATGGACGGACGCGTCGCTGATATCAGATGTGATCGTGAGCGCCTCGGTGGCAGGATAGGAGACGGGCGTATTGTAGTCGCAACGGTCGGTAGATTCTGAGGCGTGCTTGCTGCATTTCATCTCGAACAGGGTGCCGTGTACTTGCGCGACCTGCTCGTCCGGTATGCCCGCTCGTTGACATAGACCTAGGTATTGTTAGTGGACATTGTTCTGGCCTCTAGCCTTGAGAGTATGCTTACCGTCGATGTTTTGATTGATTGTGAAGAACCCACTCTTCTCCTTTGCGAGCTTCGCAAGCGCGATATGCCCCCGATTTGGCTTTGCCTCTTGCGCACACTTCATCCGATCGCTGAAGAACCACCATACCTTCACCGGGTCTTGCGCCAGGGCCTCGATATTCGAAAGCTCTTGAGGCTCTATACCTCTCCATCTTCTATCATCGCCGCGAAAGGTCGAAAGCCCCGAAGCGACCGACAACCCAGCACCCACGAGGGCTAGAACACGTTTCGACGATCGCAGGTACTGTGTGAAGGATGTGAACTCGTCCATGTCGATGTCAAGCGTCGGATCGGGGGTGGACGTCCCGCGGAACTTGCGCATCTCTTGCTTCGCTCGAAGTGCTGATGTCGCCTTCGATTTGGTAGATGATGAAGTCTGGGGCTTTCGAGGCGGGTTGGGGTTGATCCCTCCGAGCGCAGTCGCCATTTCCTTGGTATGGAAACTACTTTCCGCTGTGGAAGATGCGTCGCTCGTCATGGTGTTGGGTATGCCGTTGATGCATAGTGAAGCCTTTGAGCAATGCACCTAGGTATACTGAGTGGACGCCTTACATTGTTTGAGATGACTCATATGAGCTTGATGTATCCGCGCACATCGCATTGATCAAATTGCAATGACTCTGATCTCTACCTTAGCATCGTTGGGTACATTGCAACGCTAATCTGCCGGAGGCGTCTGAGGTGGTAACCTTGGAACGCGTCGATGCATAACCATGGTAACAGTAGTGGGTGCGCGATGTGTGTTTGTAAGGTGGCTCACATCTCGTTTCTCTGGAAGAAGGAGACCTGTAAAGTCGAGAATATCTGAACAAGGACTCAGGTCATGACTATCGGTCGTACGTGATCTGTAAAGAGATGCGCCGCGTCGGTGACGCGTGACCTCGGCAAGCTCAACGCGCCCGTTCCAGGCGCGCGTCAATCAGCATCTGGAGATCATGAAAATCTCGTCAACCGTTAGGGAATGTTGCAACAGGTGCTGTACCATTAAGCTGAACGTCGCAACCGTACAGTGTTCGAATGAATTTTGCGAGGCCTGCCCGTAGTGTTGAGAACCGAGGTGCAAGTATGCGCGGTGCGGGCCGGCTGAGAATGGCGCCTCCGCGGGTGAAATACACTAATTACGTCAGCGACGCGGCTGAATGTCATCCGACCACCCTCTTGCCGGTACGTCTCACCACCTCCCTGAAATCTGTATCAGCCATTTTCTTCTTCAGAGTTCAGTCGATCCAAGCTCCGTGAATTACACTTCGACGTACTCTCTAGATCCTAACGACATGATCAACACATCACTATGATACGCGTACCACCGACCCAGCCTCGCATCCCACGCCAAAGCTACTACGATGGTGTCCTACCGACCGCCCTACGACACAATTACAGTTTATTGTTTAAGTGGCGACTACACCCAGTGGTAAACGGCGGCAGTATCGAGTCCGACCAAATGGATGACTGTTTGCTGCCTCTCTCCAATTTCGCCTAAATTCTCCACCCTTCCCAACGCGTTTGCGATACGTTCACACTCAAAGGCTATATCAACATTGATTAGCGTGGGAAAAAATGTTCCATGCAGGGACATACGTACAATCCAGGTTGCGGAAGTCTTTTGCTCGTAATGGAAAGTCGGCGATAGGCTCATTCGTCTTGACGTCGCGCATATGACCCATTCTCATCTCAGAAAGTTTGTATGTACTGTGATATTGGCGCATCGCGGTATTCCAGATACTGACACATACTTGTTAATACATGTTCCGATTATTTCGAATCCTCCGACATCACTCACTGTGCCTGAACCTGTTTGTTGAGAGCGACGTAGTTGTGATTCAATTGTCGTACCTTTTCGCAGACATCGCAGACTTGCCCCAGCATATATTTCATAGCTTGCTTGATGGGTCCATCGCGTTGAGTCTCTGGGAGGGTGCCGATGGCGCGGAGTTGGGCAGCGGCTGCCTCAAGCTGCAATGCGATGTCGTAGGGGTTGTTCTCCATGATGGCAGTGGTATGTTGACGACTTCGATGGGCGAGTTCGAAGTGGTCTCTAGTCACCGAGGGATCGATCAGCCTTTAACAGCAACTCGCAACGTCTGTGCATCTGCGAAGGGATATTCACGGGCTTTCCAGAATGTTCAATATTACGCGCTCTCTCTCTTCGCGGCTCTTGGGTGGTTCAAGCTTTCGATCCCCTCATAATCGTTACCTCACGTCGACCAAACATCCACTGAAGGGTCTCTCCAACATCATCTGCTCTTGTATACCAACTCCAAAATGCGCAACAGACAAGCTGAGCTCGCCTTTCTCGAGTCGCAGCTACACTCTACAGTCGGTCAGCTGCAAGCGATATCCATAATCCCTTTCACTACTAGTATGGAGTCCGCAACAGTCCGCATCGATATCAAGAACCTCAATCAACGCCTTGCCTCCCTCGAAAGAACGGTTGTTGGTCTCCACGAAGATGTGTTGCGTCTTCGGGCTTCTATGGATGCCGAAAGTCGCACACTGTCTGTTGTGTACAAAGATTTGTTGGTCAGAAAAGCGAGGTGAGTGCGCATAACGCTATGCTTTATTGTCATACTAGAACTTGATAGGGAGCACAACACAGACGCGACAGCCTATAACGCTCAAGCCAACCGACATACGATTCTGCTATCTATCCACAATCCGAGGACAAATGAGCCCATTCGTGGTTTTCCCGAGACTTTGGAGTGTATTGACAATATGGGGGGTAAGTACAAGCTGTGGCGTGGGCTATCGACACGTACGAAGCTGACCAGCCATTTTCGTAGATCACCAGCTCGAATATCTGTTCCGCGTACTTGACCCGAATCATGTTCCAAGCTCTTGGACTCTTGAACAAGGGCGAGCGCGGCTTATTGCTATTATCCAGGGTGTCGAGGAGGTTCGACCAGCCGAGCTACTGCCTTCGAGATCTCTGGACCATCAGTCACAAGATTGATAGCAGAATGGGAAGAAATAACTCCATGCGCAAGCACACAACCGCCATGCCGAGTCGCTAGTCACGTGCAGGAGATAGACGGTTCGGAGACTTCGATTTCGCGATACATAAGCACTACTACACGCCCTTGTAGTCAAACCCTTCGGGGATTCCGAAATATATCAGCCTGTACCCAAAGTATAGACCACCGCGTAGTCTGTTAAAGCTCGGCTGTGTAGTGCCACCCAGTGATAGACCCAGTCCAATGATGCACATTGCAGAATGGCATATCGCGCCGAGCGAATGTCAGATCGCGCGACCGTGACGATGACCCTGTAAATTTACGTCCTCGACAGATGTCTTCTTTGCGCAAAGAGGAATGAGGTCCTCCTCAAGCATGGCAGACTCCTTGGGTCGGGCTTCTTCTTCCGGCTAGCCACTCAAACCGGGAATGAGAACTTGGTACTCCTCGCACAACTTCGTGAACTTCTCCAATGTAGCAATGTCGAAATTCTTCATGCGTATACCCAACTTTAGTGCGGAAGCAAGGTTCTTCTTGCTGTCCCTAGCGCACTCTTCAAATCCACGTAAGTTCTTGTTCCTTTCCAGAAACGCTTCCGGTGACTTGTAGTACGCAGCAAAGCGATGAGCTTGAAGTAGCGTTGGAGGGAAGTCGATTCCATTGCGTACGCTTTGGAGGGCGTCGTTCTTGTTTTCGCGAATTCGTTGCTGAAGATCCCTGATCCTGGAAATCTCGTCTGTCGATTTTGGGTGTGCTGCAGTGTACTTTTTCTCTGCGGCGTTGATGTCTGCGAGGAGTTGGCCGGTCGCTTTTGTGAATGCATCCCAGTTGGCGAAGCCGGAGTTGATGATTGACTTTGTCAGGTCGCCAGTCAAGGCATGATATCGGTCTTCGTCAGACGTTGTGGGGGTAGCGGCTGGATCCGCACGATGAACTGCGCGTATGCTGCCACGTCGGGCGACTTTGTTGTGGGAGATGGCCATGGGTTATGGATGTGGGATATGGATGTGGGATATGGATGTGGGATATGGATGTGGGAGATGGACGTGGGAGATGGTTGTGGGAGATGGCTGTGTGCGCCGAAAGAAGTAGTCACATCTGATGTCGCCGCATAGTCTCTGAACCATGGTTCTTGACCAGTTTTGCAGTGGAAACGGCGAACAAGTCGAGCAACTCGGTATACCTTGGTTCTACTCGACAAAAGAAGTAATCTTTTCTGTTGCACAGCCAATCTCCTCTCTCGAATATATACACATCCAATGCTATTGCATTCGGGCTCCAGATGTGGGAATTAGTGTCGCCGTTAGAATGCTCATTGCGCGCAACTGCCCTTTGCGCCTGGCTGGGCTACCCAATTTGCATTCGCATGGGACTTCGACTTGGTGACCTTCATAATGGCAAGGTAATTAGCGCATCGGTCATCAACCGCTCCCAATTACATGGTCACTCACCTCCGGCTCGCGGTTATCCTTAGTCAGCTCTGGTCGTTGACGTGTCGGTAGCAGTGACGACAAATCTTCGCTGATGTTGACATTAGCCTCTCCCCTGGTCCAATAGGTGCTTCACGTTACCAAAGATGTATTCTGCTCCATGCGTGTTTGCATGAATTCATCATCGCTCAACTTCTCTCTGCGCAGCTGCGCAAGCTTTCGCGATATCTCCGGACCTCTTCGTGTGCAGACTACTACCCACTCTCGCGACCTCAATCTGGGAGCTCTGCGCAGCCACCGCGCTCATAGGCTGCGTGCGCGGCTGCTCGGCTGGTTTCCAGATCATTGTCCAGAGCTCGCTTGCCAGGTTCATCGTGTAGTCGAAAGCGCCTTCCAGTAAAGGCCATATCGGCTGGTGATGCTGGTGGTCCATCGCGCGCGGTCGGTGACGGCCTCGGATGCGGATTTTGAGTATCTTTTTTCTGTTGGTCTCAAGGTGTGCCAGAATGTGTGTCTTGTGAGGATGTTCGGCTAAAGAAGGTGGTAGAAACGCGCCGAGAGATAAGGTCACAAGATAAGGGTCTTGATATGGCATCGCAATGATTGGAGCAGCCCAGTGGGTCCAGCAACCTTTACAGTTTGTATCCTCACGAACCCCGCAGGTAACGATCGACCCTCTCTTCCTGTCTTCTTCTGTCCGCTATTGCACCGCGCTGATCATAGCCCATGCCGGTAGTGTACGCGCTGGTGATGTACAGCCACTCCTTCCATCAGACTCACCGGCTCAGCATCGCGCCTGTCCTCGCAAGAGTTGAGCGCGACTGCAAAATGACTACTTTCTCGTTGGCAACTGCCTGGGCAAGGCCTTCTTGCCTTCGCGGTCCATCCCGTTTACCCTTGCCACGCAGCTCAAGAAGGCGAAAGACCACGTTGGTGAAATTGGTGAAGGGAAGTTAAGCGGATGCTGAGATTGCTATGGCACTTACCTAGTAGTGAAATGGAGATACAGAGAGACGAAATTTGTAGATGAATGAACAGGTTTTAGGAGGTAGAGGTAGCGATGAGATCAGTTGACTCGATGGTGGACATGAGGCCTTGAAGCGTATTCAAGAAATCGGCTCTTGGAAAAAACCCCATGTTCAGGAAGCTAGCGAGGTGTCGCGATGAGATAGGATGAAGCCGTGAGATACATACGGATGCTGCTGGCCGTTCGCGATGCCTATGTTGAGATTCAGGCTCACGGAGTCGAGATGGCAACTGTAGCCAACCGCTAATTGCTCTACGTACGTGATCATGTCCTCTGAAGTCACGACGCGTCCGTAGAGATTGAATAGTGATCTGGAGAACACGATGATGGGTCCGCTGACCAGGGAACAGACCAATAAGCAGTTCTAGAAGAATGTTGTGGATATACTCAATGGGTGGAGGAGACCATAGCAACACCGAGGACTGTAGTCAAATGCAAGCGCACGTATAAAGAAAGCTCCTCAACGTGATTGTGGAAGAAAGTGGCTGGGGATGTCCGCTCTTACGTCATGCAAAGCACGGACATCATCCGGAGATGACTCGGATCAAGCTGGAAATTTGGGACAGACAAAACATCACAACATGACGTCTCGGAAACTGGTTCGCAAAGCTTTGCACAGCGCAGCGCTTTGCACCTAGACGATTTGTCAAATAGATGAACTATGCGACTCGAAGGTACATGGTATCTGGGCAGAGGGCGAGGCGATGCGGGTGCTTACTCCGGTGGCAGCATCGGCCGGCGGTACCGCTTCTGAAACGCGCCATCGTTTGGCCTGATGTCTCAGGCATCAAGGTCGGCCCATGATGATTTATGGCAAAAGCTGAACACTGGGCATCGAAGTCTCGCACATGTTCTGCTGAGTTACTCCATATACCGAAACAAAAGAGCAAAGAAGTTGGAGATGTATCTAACTAGACGGGGTTGAACTTGCGCATGGAGTGAGCAGTGAGCGCCGATCTGAACTGGTGTTCAGTTGCATCACGGCAATGTCGGGTTATACTAACAGCAGGCATGCCAGATTCTATTCGCCTACCGGCGCCGACCACCAGCCGTACGTCGACACCATGGCTATACCACCAGAGGCGCGGATCGCAGTGGAGCCGCTTGAACCACTCTGGCAGCCGTCAGCCGGCTGAATATTCTTGGTAGCGATCGCATCAGCCAACGCTGGACCGCAAAGAGAAGGAAGAAGGGGCGCGACCAAAGTCGAGCAAGAGGATGTTAACGGGGCGAAGTTTTGTCAGCATGATCGATGCCCTGAAGGATGAAGAGGCTCTCACTGCTGTCCCCGGAACCAAAGTCTACGCTGTAGGAAGCGCATCAAGAACAACATGCACAACGGTGCCGATCAACTCGGGAGACTCGTTGCAAGCCCAACACCGTTGGGACTCTGGCATGGGAAGCGAGCGTTGCCAATAACACCCCATCACTAAGTCTCTCAGCCAACAGCGCGTGCACGGCAATGTCCACCTGGCTATAGCCGCTGTCTTATTGCGCGGCGAATAATATATGACAGCGCATCGTGATTGTGCTATCGTCAGCGTTGGGTCACTATCGACCAGGCTTGAACAGGATGGCGAGTGTGTTGGATCGCTCGCTACCAGATCAGTCCCGCAGCTTGCCTCCGGTGAGTGATGTCTCGGTCAACCCGGACGCGCGTTTGCTCAGCGGTAGCTTTCACTGCCGTCGGATGTGCCATAGGGAACAAGAGACGCTGAGCGAGTGTCTCCGCGGCTTGACTGCTGGCACGGCGCTGCTGCAGTGTAGGTGGGTACCCTCGAATAGCGTCAAGTCACTGCCACGACGCCGCTGTCTGCTAGTACGCGCACCCGATCATCCTGAAGCCAGTCAGCGTGGACCCTTACAGCGTACCCACGCGCCCTTGATGACCAGCCGCGAGCTTCTCCGGGTGAGGGTGTGGCAGTGAGATGTCCTTGGCTGGCGAAGTGGTTCGCCTTAACGAAAACCTGGGTTTGCTTCGGTACTCGCTTCTTTGGCCTGGTCTTTGGAAGGCTCAGGAGAGAACGCGATGCTGCCCCTTTTCGCAGTGACAAGCAGCAAATCGTCCTGAGGCGCCGGTCTAGCTTCTGTCCTCTCTGGTACTCATGGATCCCACTAGAAATCTTCGAGATATCTGTCCAAAACATGTCTAAGCGAGACTGTCACAACTTGTTCCAACCGACCTCCATGTATGCGGCGTCGACACCCGCCAGACTGTAACCCTTCGTTGTCACTCAGCGTCACCCTGGCTGCCAAACCATACTATGATCTAGATCACGTATCGGGTAAAAACAGCGACGACACGCCTCATGCACGAAGTAACAATGCTACATCCACTGGTCAAGAAGCTATCTCTGTCGCCGTGCCCTTGGGAAATCACTGTCATTACGCATACGCGAGCAACGCTAAAGGTGAATAACAACGGGTTAATGACGGCAGTTGAAACTTCGAAAAGACAGTCGTCCGCAATTTCAAGGTAATCAATCGCGGATGATGTTAGTAAAAAGCGCCTCACAGTGTCATGTTATGCTGGAAGTTACACTCACGATGCCACTGATCATGTGACTACGCCTTCACGAGTATCTTGCGGAACTTTAACAACATCCGCGCTCGCTTACGTACAAAGATACGAACGGCATCTTCCATGGGTCTTGCGAAATTTGCCAAGTGTTTGCGCAGATACCATGCTCTGCCGTTGTGGGAAGCGGAGCTATATCAGCTCCGCATATAGCCTATGTACCTCGCCTCACGGGCGACCCGAAAAGAAGCAACTTTCGGCGACACTATTGGCTACGACTCCACTTTCTATTTTTCACAATCGTCCAATAGATTTGCGGGCCGTTGGCGGCGGAGCTGGCACACGCATTGCGCTATGTTGTGGGCTACAGCTTTGGGCGCGTCATCAACACTTGCCAACACTGCGGCGCACAAGATCGTATGCGACACACAGAAGCAGCAAGAAAAGCCGGTTGCTTCGAAACCGGCCGACCATCTACCGGGCTCCTGGATTGTTGCCTCTTGCCTCTCTGACAGTGCACCGAAAAGGCGGGATGCGGCGACGGCACGGTACAACGCTCACTGCGCCGGAGTATTACTCGCGCCCGTTCGATATATTCCTTCACCGATTGACAGGGTACTGCGCAGATGCAGGTGTTCACAGCGCCGGTGCAGCATCGCGCAGCAAGGCACCGAGCTAGCAAGCCCTTGTTGTCAATCGCCGCCGCGGTGGTGCGATGCATACATTGACGCTTGGAGGTGACCGGTCAGGCATCACATATGGGTAAACCTCGGTGAATCTTGTGAATATTGAAACACAAGTTCATTGACAGTTCAAGTATCGCGAGAAGCAGATTACGATGGGAATGACGTAGTCTTCAATGGTCGTCGAAGGAAAGGATGCGGACCATGAGTGTATAGCAGCGTTGGGCTCAGTAAACCTCCCCACATCAGCAAGTACACCTACGCCTCACGCGTCAATGCCCTCGATCTGTTGAGACGCCTCTCTGCACGATGAGCATGACTAGCGAATTCAGCATTCACCAGATCGATGGCCGCGGATAAGCGAAGTCATTGCCAAATTGGGCCTTCAGCCAACGGCCTCCACCTCTACTCCGGAGTACCTGCCGTTACTCTGTAGTTCTCCCCACATCCCGATGAAGCCTACACCCGCGATGCATCTCTAAGCGATGTCTCTCGGTAGCACAGGTCCTCGTCGATCACGAGTACACGATCTCCGCTTTCCGCCTCGCAATAACTTCGTTATCCATCATCAAATGGCAAACATAGCAATCGCCACCTCAACATTTAAACATGAAACGGCTGTCTTGCCACTGCCACATGGCCGACGAGGATGCCGTTACCAGCAAAAAGGCACAACGTGAGGCTTCCCAATATCCAGTGCAGCGGCATGTCGATCCTTGATGCTTCTCTTCCGCT